TTATTTCAGTAAGGGGCTACACATGTGCCTCATATTCTGCCTCATCAGTTATCGGTTAAATTATTAGCTGCAATTAAACAGTTATCAAATTTCTAGTAATAGGAGCAAAAGTCCTACAAGAAAACTACTGAAGTACATATAATAAGGCCTGGTTCTCCTCTTGATTTTTGCAACAGCTTCTCATACATAGTTGAGTGAATGATAAAATATATGTTGCCTGAATAGTTCTTACTGAACAAGTTAGCCGGACAATAAAACTTGATATTTGAAGTACATATAAAATTTTAGTTGAGCTGACCTAGAAAAAAGTAGGCTGAGGAAGCCAAAACCCTCAAATATTGTTTTGCTTGAGGGCGTCCACCTACTTTTGACCTTGACATTGCTGTATATTATCCACTGTGTTATACTCAGGTGACTTGTATTTACTTTCCACATTGTTTACATGTGCATTTATTCACAAACAGCAGCTGATTCTCCTCTGAAACTATGACAAATGCACTTTATTGCCATCAGTCAATAAAGTAAAACTCTCACACAGTCAGTCTGAGGTTTTTATTGAGTTTCTGGAATGAATAAAATGAATAATTATTGGACTGTAATTAAATGTAGTATATGAGTCACATAATTGCAATATAAGATAATGATTGCTATCTTAACAATAATACCGACAGTTTTAAGAGTATTTGTTATAATGTGTAGCCATGCTGAAGGAAACCCAATGAAAAAGCATAAACTTGAATAAAAGCGCGAACATGAAGAGAATCAGGCTCCAAATCCAGAAATGTAACAAGCATAACTAAAAATGCTGCAAATTTCTTTGCTGCATATCTGGATGTGGAGAAAATTAATCAATACAAATGTTTATTAGACATTCAGAACACAGAGAATTTTACATTTTCATGGTTGAAATAAAAATTATCATGAGCAGAGACAGCCTCCATGGCTAAACAGATACAAGAAACAATGTTAATCACATCAACAGAACAGCTGTTGAGAACATGTCAAAGTACTATCATGATGTTGGACTGACAGCTGATCTCTGTGCAGCAAAGAAACATCACAACAATCAGGGAGAGAAAATGAAATGCAAAACTAACACACCTTTAACCCCTCTGAAGAATGAAAGATTCCCTTTATTTGAGCTGACAGATCTCAG